AAAACCCAAGAAAACCAATCCCGACTCTCCCCACTGCCAGACAAGCGCCTCGATCAGCCTGGCACTGCCCTCTGATCCCATGTTTGCATTCTTATTGAAGCTGGGTTCTCAGTCAGCCAGGTGCCCTGGAGATCGACCCTCTCCCTTAGTGCAGGAAGAGAAAAGGAAAAAGCAAGCGAAGGAGGATCAGACTCGTGCTACTTATGTGTAAAAATAAGCAGACTACAGATTCAGATGGGATCTAAGCTTTTTGATTCAGACCAATGCCCTGTTCAGAAACCGGTGGTACAGAAGTACAGCTCATTCCCTGGCAACTGAACAATCTTCCAAAACCATCCACAGGGCCCCTGTACATTCACTGCGTTGTTTTGGCTCTCACCTCTGGCTCGACAAGGCTAAATCAAACTGGCCATCAACCTGGCAGGTGAAATGCTCAGAGTCATCAACTTCTTCCCTCCTTAAAACAAAGAGATTGCAATTCAAGTGAGTTAATGATGAAACCATAAAACAAAAGGTAATGAAGCCACTTCTGTAAATAGGTTATAGAGAAAGCTGCTACTTCCTTTTTAAATTGCCAGCATATGCACTTTAAAATCTATTTAATATATCTGACAATGAAACACGGATGCTTAGATTGGCCCGAGAGAAAACTGGCTGCTTTGCTAACGTAGTATTACAAACCAGCCAGCAATGCCAAAAAAAATCTTATCTTTACCATTCTGAAGAGGTTGCGTTCAACAACCTCGACAGGATTATTCAACAGCCATGCAAATAAAGCAAACTCAGTCTCTCAAGACTTTGGGAATGTACCAGCTGGTGTAAGGCTTAAACTACAGAAAGTTTATACTGGCATAGATAAAACCCCATGGAAGAACTGGGAAGCAGTACAGCAGTCTCACCTCGTTGGTGTTTTTGAAGCAGAGGTGCTCGTTTTTTCTTCCTGAGAAGGGATGAGCAATGAGGCGTAGCGCCGCTCAGAGGAGTTTGTATCCATTGTGAAGTTCAACTCCTGGCTTTTACCTCCACTGCTACTTTCGCTATTGCAATCCGTGCTATCCAAGTTATCTGAATCACTATTCCCACTTGCACCGCCACCTCTTGGCTCTCCGTTTATTTTATTTTTATCTGCTTTTTGCTGTGCTAGAGATATATGCTGATCCGGCAAAATTATCTGCATATTCTGAGGAGTCTCTTTTGTTTTATTTTTCTTATTTTTTCTATTTGTGCTGGGGGTAGTCACCACATTAGCTCTCTTCTTCCCAAAGGCATTTGTGAAAGTAGTTGAAGTCGCAGAAATTCCAATTGTAGTTGTAGTAGTTGCACTAGGAGGCTCTATAGGAACTTCTTGCTCCACTGAAAGAACAGTTGGTACACAATCAAAACCCACAAGATACAGAAATCAGTGCCCTGACTGAAGAAGCTACAGCTGAAATCACGCTCCTTGCTGAGCTGTCAGACCATTTACACCGCTTTCAGCTGTAAATTCTCCGAGAGTGAAAGATTTCTGGGAACAAGGGGGGGGGAGGGGGGGAGGGAACAATGGAGTTTTGCCAGGAACTCTGACTGCAGAGGGAAGAACCAGGACAGAAGCTATGCAACAGCGTCACAGTCCCAGAGGAGCCAGCTTTCAGACTCACTCACCTAGATGGTTAAAAAAGGCCCCCCCCAACTACACTGTTCATAGAAGCACTTGTTCCTTACCTTCATCGTCATTTTCTTCTTCATCATCATCTTCTTGAAGTTCCAGAGTTTCTTTAGGCTTGTTTTCTTCATCCTCTTCTTGTTTTCTTTTTTGTTCCTCTTTCTTCTTCTTTCTCTTTTCTTTTCTTTTCTCCCTTTTGGCTGCAAGAGCTTGTTTTCTGCTCTCCTCTCTTGACTGTGGAGAAAAGGATCCACGTTTAAACACTTGCACACAGACTCAAGTTATACCTGTAACTCAGACCTTCCCTAGAAATCTGAGGGGAGGGAGAAAGGAGAGAGCACGGTGAACTGGAATGACTTTGTCACATAGCGAACCATTAGACCTTATGGAACAACAGGACGAGTTGGTCCCAAAACTTCTAAGGAATGACAAAAAACCAACCAAAACAGAGCTATTATAAAAACGTAATTTTCCTGCTAAATCTATCATCTCAGTCCTTTCTCAGAAGACATTTAACAACCTCATCAATGTTTTCCAGCAATGTTCACATCTCTGACTCAAAAAGATCTCCCAGAGTATTTTATAGAAAAAACTGCTATCAGTTTCACCACTTTTTTAATCTATGGAATCAGTCAGCTGTGCTATACTGTAGCTTTGCACAGCAACTGATAGGTGTTTAACAGCCTGGAGAATTTAATAAATGGAACTTGTTTGTCAAAAATCATAAGAGCCCCCATTAAGAGAGCCCCCTAGAGAGTGCGCTGAAGTGTCTGCGTTACTCCGGGACGCTTCACAGTATTCTCAGCCAGGCAGACGCTGGTTTTCCCCACTGTCTGCTCAGGTCCATAGAGCTCATCAGGCGGCTCGCAGGCCCTCCTTTGTAACAGAGCAGAAGCCCATAAAATGCTTATGGACTACATCTTACAGTGTGTACAGACCACGTGTCACACCACCGAGGTGGAAGGCCTCCCTTATTCCCACGTCATCTGCGCTGAAGTAACACGAGAGCGCTATTACCCAAGGTAACTACTGCCATCTCCGAGCTTTCCTAAGAAGGACAAGGGAGTGGCTGAAGCAGAAATCAGTTCTAATTTGCCACCCTTGGTATACACTTCACTTGTACACTAGAGGATGGCAAGCACACACAGCCTCGGCGCGAGACCAGGAAATACAGCCTATGGATTAATACCCAGTTCAAACCGTTGTGCTGCATGACCGCAATTCTCTACTCACTTTTTCCAGGTCTAGCTCCTTCAGCAAGATAGTTGCATTCTTATTTGCTTCTGCAGCCTGCTGGTCTTTAGCTTTCACAATCGTCTCCACACACTGGTGACACTTTTTCAACAGGTCCTGGAAAGCAAACCTGTCTTACTACCTCCGTAATGAACTAGAATTGAGGAGCGAGGCTTGCTCTGCAAATGGGAGATTAGCTTCCCTGCGTTCATAAACACACAAACCACTTCAACAGGACTCTAAACACTGATTTAAGTTCTGTATTGAAAAGCAGACATGCACACACCCCCAAATCAAACATACATCAGCACACACCTATGTTCAGTTTTTGAGTATTGAAGAATTTCTCATGTATATTCTCACTGAAAATAAGGAACGGGGTCTTTTCCTGAAGTTAAACTCACCTTGTCAGTTATCGTCGCTATGTATCGCATGCACTCAATGTCCGAAGGGAACTGGTTAACTTCCTTCACCAGGAACTGAACGACTTTCACATGCCCCTAGAACAGCAAAGAAAATTCTAATCTCTTGTATACAATTGTCAACGTTTGCCATCAAAATACAACTTTGATATCTCTTAGTCCAATGCGAAAGACTAAAACTAAGCGGGAACGCTTCAGGTAAGCCGCTGTTCGGGAAGACAGGCAGTTCCCGTTCGCTCCGTATTGACAGCACGCCTGCAGTTCCACATCATGGCGGCCAGGACAAGCTCTCTGACAAGTATTTTTTTATTTTAAAGTATGAGGACCAAAGCGGGCCCGAGGGCAGAGGCAGCTGTTCATGTTTATAGTAACAGCCAAGACGACCCCCTTTAGACCTGACCTCGCCGCGGAGCTAGCCTAGACTGTTCAGTTACAAGGCAGGTCTGAGCAGGGACCGAGCCACCTGAACGCTGCCCCGGCAGACCCACTCCTCTGCCGCTGGATCCACTCCCGGATGGGGCGCAGTGTGCAACCACACCGAAAGCAGCCAGCGGTTGTCTCTGAAGTGATCTGAAAGCAGCGGAGGGAAAGCAGTGGCATGCTCTTCAGTGCTCTTTGTCAAAAGAGTCCTGCGCTTATTTGATATTTTGTTAGAGGCAAAGCAGCTACAGTTGATAAATTCTTCTGGCATAGCTACGCTCCTTGCATCCAGCATAACTAATGAAACCATCAAAAGCAACGTTCTTCCTGCCAAGAAGAGGCAGTGACAAAAGAGCCGGCTACGCAGGGTCCCACTCAACAACGCATCAGGAACGGAAGAGGAGAAATGCAAATGAATCAGGACAGGCTCCTGGTTTGTTCATCTCGAAAGCAGGACTGAAACAAGCAGCGTAATTGCAGCCGTCTGGAGGGGACTGCAGCAATCTCAAAGCAGTGAAATCGCAGACAGTGGAAGTTTTTGGACAGTGCATAACTGGAAATAACAAAGTTCACATGGCTTACGGAACCAGGTTTTTCACCTCTCAAAATTCAGATCTGTGTGAAGTACACAGACTACGATTACTTTAAAGCAGGCATTTTATCAAAATAGGAATTTTGCTGTGCTATACTTGATTCTTCCAAGACCAAGCATTCAGATTTAAGACCAAATGAGAAACTATTTTGAAAACATTGAAACATAAGCTTAAGTTGGTCTCCTACCTTGCGAAACGCTGACATAAGAGGTGTAATTTTCCGATTATCTGCAGCATCCACATCTGCTCCTGCTTGCACAAGCAACTGAACCACATCGTAGTGACCACCGTTAGCTGCCAGCCACAGAGGCGTGTTTCCTTTCTTGTTACGAACATCAATGTGTGCTCCTCTAAAGACGTACAAGAGCAGGCGAGTGAGATGAGGTATGAGTAAAGGTGGAAGTAAGGTCATGAAAGATGAGAGTGCAATTGGATATATAGCTTTAATTACTGGAATCCAGTGGCTAGATAGAGAAACCCTGTCCCTGAAGTCTGCTGTTTAAGGTGCAATGTAGTGACACGGGGATTATTTAAGCCTCCCTTATAGAAACACCTCACGTAGCCTACTGCACCACAGCCATGCAACTAGCAACTAGCAACCGGTCGGTCCTTCAAATATCAAGGTGGCGAGTACCTATAGGACAAAGCAGCCCCTTGAGATTTTAGCAGCACACAGGGTCATGCTTGAAGAGCTCAAGAGCTACTTCCAGGCTTTGCCCCCCAAGTGACAGTGGGGAAATGCTCATATGGGAATTTCTGGATTAATACACAGCCAACAGAGCTGCCAAGCCAGACACTGTTTGCTTACTTCCTGGTCCCAGCTGCCTGCTTAGCTTAATTAATACTGGAGTAGCTGGATACTCCAGGATGACACTGGAGAGTAGGGAACAGATACAACATCCTACTTGCAAAGCTTCCCATTCCCCTTGCTCTCAGATGCATGAGGCAATGTAAACAAGGGCACCCCTGCCAGAGAGGGGTGCAGCTACAGAACAAACTGCTAATGAGAAATAACTTACCGATTAATCAGGAGCTCACAGAACTTGTAGTGACCCTTATCTGCTGCAATTGTTAAAGCTGTATCTCTTGAGGAAGGCACGGGTGGAGCATTAACATCTGCTCCTTTGTCAAGGAGCACCCTTCCAACCTCTGCATATCCTCCTGAAGCCGCTTCCATCAGGGGTGTGAGACCCGTCTGTGCAAAGGGAACCAGTTACACAGCGTGAAACTTGTACAATGTTGTTTGGATAAGACATAAATGATTTCTACACAGGGAAATCAGATTTTTTATTTAGCTGCTTACATTTAGTTTAGGAGTCTAACTTCAAACAGTCTCTATTCAACCCACCCCCAAAAAAACCCCCAAAAACCAAACCAAAAAACACCCATACAAAAACAAAACAAAAAAACCCGAAAGCCAAATACTCTTGGGCTTTGGTTTATACAAACCCAGGCAAACTGTTGACTAAGTACCACCAGATACCTGTCTCAAAAGCAAAAACCAAGTTTACAGCAGGATCTCTAAACCAGAGGCTAGAACAGATCCAAACGAAGACACAAGTGTTTCTACAGAAATGCTCAAAACTGGCTTTATAGCTTTCTCAAGCCTCCCTGAGCGCTAAGGCTGGTCTTGGCCCAACTTAGTGGCCAGGCTAGACTGTTAACCAAACTTATACCAGCTGCTAACGTGCCCAACTGACCATTTGAGAGCTGGCTTTTATCCATATCCCCTTTTCTCCAGCCACAGTCATCCAGAAGCAGGCGGGGTAGACAGACACAGCAATTATTTCAGCAGCCTGAGGAGTTACCAAAAATTCCTTTGTGCTGGGGAAATCAGTCTGGCTGTCTACACAAGCTTTAAGCTTGCTTTATGGCAGGAGACACAAAGCTGTCCCAGAGCACCAAAGGATGGGACCTGTGGAGCATTTCAGAGGCACAGACAGTCACAGTACTGAAGCCATGGGTTCTACAGAAACGTAACAGCTTTACAAAGTCTGACTGCACTACTTCTGTTGCAGACAAGATATCTGTTCTAGATGAGAATCACTATAAGCAACACCATTCTCTTCCTGCCTGGACTTCACTCATACGTAAAAATACATGTATCTCTGTTCTGCTAATGAGTGCCATGGCAAGCTTAAACCTGGGAGTGTCTCAGTACTATGGAACAAGGGCCAATATAAGTTCTGTTATGAACTCGGAGGGACCGGTCAGCTTTTCCCTAATGAAAAAAATTCATCATTGATATTTTATTTTTTAAAAAACCAAACTTACTTCAGAACATTTATTAAGTCCTCTGATTTAATAAGTCCTCTGAGCCCAGAGAGGCTTAAAGCAAGAGGAAAATCTGAAGAAACCTGACAACTCAGGGAAATCTCCTGTTAGACATAAGCCATAAGCAAAGGCGATTCACACACTTACCTTCGCCCTGTGCTCGACATTGGCCTTCCTGTCCAAAAGCAGACTGACCACCTCTGCTCGGCCTTGGAAACAGGCCAGGGTGAGCGCTGTATTACGGTTGGTCTCAATTTGGGCGTTGATATCAGAACCCATATCGAGCAGCAGTTTCACGGCAGGTACGTGGCCATTCATAGCAGCCAGCATCAGAGGAGAAATGCCTAGCTTACTGCCAGTCCTAGAGGGGAAGAAACAAACTGCAGTTCCCAGAACCAGAGGAAGGCTCTGGGAAGCCCAAGTGTATCCAAGAGGAACAAACTGCTTTGTTGGAAGCCAGAGAGGAATACATACAGACACTAACCTAAAATACCAGCATTTTTTAATTGATTAGGAGAAACCATCGGAGTAACTACATGCGAGAGACAATTGCAATTTATAAACAAGGAAAATACATTTCAGCCTTTAGATGTTCAGATGGCTGAAGCCTTGAACTACATATACTAAAAATCAAGGCTGCATCTGATTCATTCAGATAAAACATGCTTCTAGCACAGCTGCAGCTGTAGTGGTCTCTAGTGACAGTATATATGTAAGTTTTCTTAAAATGAGCAAAGAGGAGGCTTGAGAGACTTGGCTGTGTAAATTTGTTCCTCTTACTGAAAAAGACATCTTCAAACAAACACATGGAGCTGCCCCAACTGCTTTGGCTGGTTCCTGTACCTGGTTCTGTTGGAAATAATTTGACTTCTAGATCCCAGAATAGTGGAAAAGGGAAAGGGAAGGAACAGGCTTGCAAACTACAATAATCCCTTAAAGTTCAGGTATAAGGGAGGTGAAGTTTGTGATAAAGGCAATTTAAAAGCACTAAGATAACATGGACATAAAGGACAACATCAGCATGGAAAGGCACCAAAGAGGTCTGAAAGCACTAGAGATTCCAGCCTGCGCCTCCGCAGCCAACAACGGAGTGCCTGCGCTATCCTGCCGTTCAGCTGGCGGGCCCAGTACATTACCTTGAATTTATCTCTGCCCCAGCGTTGAGGAGAATCTTGATGATGTTAACATAGCCACCAGATGCAGCAAGGCTCAATGGCGTATAATCAGACACATTCCTATGTTCTTTATTTGCTCCTCGGGCCAACAGCAAATCAACAACCTGAAAAGACAGCGTGCATGTTAAAGGCATACAGTGGCCTTCCCTATTACCCGGGAAGTGAAAGGATGTTACCACATGGTCAAGCCTTCCCGTATGCTACCTGTTTCCACTGTCAATAGACAGGCTTCTACAGGAAAAGCTCCATCCTCTCTTGCTTTACTTTTACATATGTGCTGTACAGACTTAGCAACTGATGAATACATCAGCTCATCTGCGTGGGCTGCAGCAGGGCAGCGCTTGTCTTCCAGAAAGATTTATTTTACCTAATCAAAAATGCAAGGCTTTGAAGTGAAGCTCTTCCTGTGAATCGTAAGTTTGCAAACAAGGGATCTATCCCACTCCCAGAACATCTCACACTGTTTGAGTGTCTCTTTCAGAAACTCCCACAACTTTCATCCAAATGACACTTGAGCCAAGTCTGACCATCTGTATTACATGGTCTTTCCCACAAAACACATGGTGAAAATCAGGCCAACTGATAGTAACGGAACAAGCATGAGGAAGGACTTCTCTCCTCTACCAGAAGCTGTGTAACAGAAATAAAAGGGGGGGAAATGAAAACATTCCTGGTGATGTACTGCACTTTAGTGGGCTTCATTTTACTACTAACATAGGCAAGGTGATTTTCAAATAAGCCAGAAAAAAGGCTGCCTCACAAGTTGCTAAGCCAGAAACATAAGAGGTAGATTCTGGCATAAGGAAAATAAAGAGGAAGAATGAAAGACTCAAGCAGTTCAGTAAGCAATGCTACCACAGGCCATGCTGATCTCTCCTTTTATTTGTGAGCAGCACTTTTACAGTTAAAGATCTGCAATTCAAAAGTCAAAGTGGAAATGTTCCAATTTTGGCCAGCTGTTTTAATTCTCACATGTTCCAAACTTACCACTCCTGTATCTGGCACAGAGCTTTTTGCCATCCCCATGCCATCTTCTATGCTAGTATGCCCGTGACTAAAGCAGGAAGGATTTAATAAAGCTTATTTGGATAAAAAAAAAAAACCCAAACACCAAAAAAAGCCCCCAACAATCTGAGAGAAAACTGAAACCACCTTGCAAGACCAGTACGTGCCCTGCATTGCACCTGCACCTATCAGCCCTGCACAGTACCGCTAAGACCACATACTGCAACACAGAATTCCAGTTCTCCGGTTCCTGTCCTTGTGTGCCTGCAGCAGCTGTTTCAGTTTTGAGAGCGGGGAGGATGCTCTACCTCCCTCACAAAAGTACTTCTCTTGCAAGGACACATCGACAGAAGAATGACCATTAGCTAACAAAACTGGGATAGCCAAGGGAGAAAAGAATAAATCCTTTTTCCTCTTGGAAGAAGAAAAATGCTTAATTTCGCTACACTTATACAGGTTAAAAACCTTCCAGAAAAAGGATGGTTTATTATTCCATCAACCAAAGCACCACTGTACAAGAAAACTATCTGCAAAAACCATTTCAAACCCATGGAGGACAAATATGCCTGTACCTCTTGGCGTCCACCGGAGCATGCCAGCGAAAGCGGAGTATCCTTTGTGCGCTCAGACTGTGCTTCTATATCTCCGCCTTTGTCTAGAAGAATTTCCACTACACCAACATGTCCGGCAGTTGCAGCCAGAATCAAAGGCGTAAAACCTAGTAACAAGAGATCGTGTTAGAAGCAATCTTGAGAATCTCAGAAGTATTACTGAGGAGCAGAAATACACAAAAGGGTTAATCCACAATGGCTTCTGTTGGTCAGGCATGCCTTCCTCAAACTGGGAGTTTCCCACGATAGGCCAGGATCTCAGACCCTTCCCTAGCCCTCTTCTGACCCTGACACATCCAGGCTCTAAGTCCAGCCAAAGAGAATTAAAGGCTCTCTAAAAGAAATCTAAACAGCGCTTGCACTGATGAGCTTGGACTAAGTTCCGACCAACTCCTCTCTTTAGAGAAGTCACAGCTTGCCACTTAATTCCAACAAGGGAACACATCTGCATTGTGCATGTTGCTTGCTTCCAGGAGTCAATGTGAGTTCCAAGGAGAGAGGCATGGTGGGTTTGCCCTCTCAGCTCTGAAAGATTTGAGATCTTGCTGAGCTCTGTTGTTGGGAACAATACGGTGCACAACCTGGCACCTACTCCCTGTCAGCTTTGTCAGCCAAGATTTGATGTTTACCCCCGTTAGCCACCCTATCCAGTACGCTAAGGCCTTTTGTCGAGGGCGAACAGTAGGAACACAAGTGCTTCACATTTTGCAAATCTACTTAGGATACCGCTCAGATGCGCTTCCTTCCAGACAGACAGACAGGAAGGCACGCAATGCCACTGCCTTCACAAGGCCAGTGTTTCTACACTAAGGCCAAGAATGCAATTCTGGATTTTTGTAAGCTTTGGTCATTTTCTGAAGCAACGAAACCCAAATCCCAATTTGAAATTCACTGTTTCAAGTTGTCAAACTGCTTTACTGTTCCAGCTTACCCTTCTTGTCTCTGTGTTCAATATTGGCACCACGTGCTATCAGTACAGATACAAGTTCTTCATGACCACCCGCACAGGCAAGGGTCAGAGCAGTGTCGTGATTACTTTCAGTCTTCACGGTTGGGAAGAAAAAGAAGCAGATATTCAGAAATTAAAAACACTCCAAGAGAACTTTTAACATTTTTAAGAAAGTACCAGATTATTCTTTTTTCTTTTCAGAACTTATCAGAAAGCAAATCCAGTCAGAATCAATTGCAATGACTCACGTGTGCATCGATGTCAACGGAAGGGTACATAGGGAGCACGGACTGCGAGGGCACGCTGCTCGATGCCTGTGAGCAAGGCTCAGGCGTAGGGGATTCGGTAGTGTGTGAGGAGCTGGCGGGGCCGCTGGGCACTCTGCTATTCACAGCTGAAAAGTAACACTGTGTTATTAATCCACTCTTGGGAATGCCACATGCTATATGAAAAATATTTAGTCCCATAAAACTGTCACGGTCTAATATAAAAACAGTAATGGGGGGGGGGGAAACAAATCAAGCGTTCCTAAAGCCAAACAAGTCTGTCTCTTGCGCAAGGAAGCTTTCCAGAAGTTAAACACTGTCGTCTCCAAACTGTATTAAGTTAGAAAATAATTTGATGAATTAGTCTGTATGCATTACAAGTATAAATTATGAAGATTATTAGTTATCCTTTTCAAATTGTAGCCTTGGCTGTTAGAGTTCAGTCATAGGCTCAGTCTAAGCAGGCAAATAATTTACCACTAAAACACAAACCTAACGTTCAGCAACAGCGTCTCATTCCAGAGTTCAGGCGTTCTTCACGTAAAGGTTGGCGCACGCCTGGTCTCCAGAGAAGGTTTTCAAAGCAAGATGACTGACAGCAACTTACACCGTTAATCGGGTCTCAGAGTTAGAACAACCCAGGAAGGGTGGAAGAGAAGCAGACAGGAGGGGGCAGTCACAAAAATAAGGAAGCTGAAAACTGTCTGTGCTCCCTGGAATGTGTTTTGAGCAATCCATAGCCTGTAGAAGATTTCTGTCCTGAAAACCTAGCGCATCTCAGGGACACAGGAATGCAACTGGATCTTCTTTTAAAAAAACAAAAAAAGATTTATTTTTTTTTTTTAAAAACTGAAAATTGAGAATCAGATTCTACTCAACTAGTTTTAAACGAAGCCTTAGCAGAACAGGCAGAGAAATATCCCTGCACATGCCTATCGCGGGGCCAAGACCTCTGCCTGCCTTTGTAACCAAAGGTGAGCCCAAGGGGAGCCCAGACGAGCCCAAGGCTCAGCTGCGATACCGGAGAGGAAGGTCTGACCCACCTATGCGCCAGCCCAAGCGCACTTCAGCTACCATAAGCCGTGCTAACGCAGCCGCTGGGTCCCTGCTGGGTTGCCAAGTTTCTGCACTGTGCAGCCGCAGTAGGCGGAACACCTGGTTGGCTTTAACTCTTGCAAACCACACAGCATCCTGTAGCGTTCCTGGAACGAGCGACTGATGGGAAACACCAACAGCCGCAGGTAAGAAAGAAGCAGCAGCATTTTGCTTTTGCCCGAGTGTTTCAAACATCAAGGGAAGGTGAAGGATGAAGGCAAACCTGCGTACGGCTTAGAGAAACTTTGACGACCCCTTCCCGTCTCAGCCCTCCCGATTCCACTGACAAATTACACACCAGCAGTTGCTCATAGGAAAACTGAGAAGCCCTAGAAAAATCCTCAACATGCCCACTAACGGGGCCGCACACAGGAACCACAGACTGGAGCCAGCTTAGATGGATCACTTCCATCGGCTTCTGGAAACACGGGGGGTCGTCACTGACATTTTGGGAGGCAGCCGTTTTCAACTCTATTTTTTAAATTAAAGCATTTTCCTTGGCGCTAGGCAAAGGCCAGCAATAACATTTGGGTACCACATTTAAGCAACAAAATATTGTATCTGAATTCAGGGTTGACTCTTGCTTCACGTTACAACCCTCACGAGCAAAGCAGGTTTGGATTAACATTTTCAAATACAAAACCTCCCACGCTTCATCTGCTTACTATGGGTTAGCACTTACAGCAGCAGACGAGCGTTAATTAATGCGATACAATTGTTTTCTTGGTCAACGCACTGAAGCACAAGGTACTGATGGGACTTGTAAAAGTTATTCCTTCCAAAATACAAGATGCCAAATCACCCTGTTACGGACTCACATAAAATCAAACCGGTCCTTCCTCCTGAAAGACACTGGCTCAGCGCTGTCGGGTCCTGCAGCTGCAGATACACCCAACGCCACGTGCACGTGCTGTGCATACAAAGCAGGAGTGTGCACGGGGACTCCACTCGAGCCACTTTAGGGGTACTTAATGTAATATATTCAGTGTTGCTGTTACAGGTTCCACAAATTCGCCACATTTCACAACCATGACTGAAAATGTCCAAGTATTTCTGGCATACTTTAGATTTTCATCATGTGTTTGAAACATATGAGCGTGCGCTAAGCACTTCATGTGTGCACGGTAACAACGACGTCAAACGTGAGAGAACACCAAAGGCAGTAGAAATGCAGATAAACCCTGTACCGATAGCCCAAACTCTTGTTTAAAATAAACTCTACCACCACCCACTGATTAATCACGCCCTCTTTAACCACTGAGTTTACAAAACCACAGGATTTTTTGAGGTGTAATGTTCTCTTTCACTAGGCTGGCTGGCCCAATGGAGCATCAATGCAAGTCGTGCTCTGTGGAGCAAAACACATTTGAGAACTTCTGCCTCCAGTTCCATGGGGCTGGTTTAGCTCGGCTGAAGTTACACAACAGCATACGGAATTTTAACTCAATGATGACCTTGCAACAGTGGTTCCAACATCCCTTCGCATACATTGCTATGAAATCGGAGTTAACTCCTATTTCCCCAAGTCCATTTCTGGATTACCAACCTCAATCACAGGAGGGGGGACAGCTACTGCTCCTGTGACCCCATCCAGGGAGACAAGGTGATCCCACTGACAGGAGAGCCACCTCTCTGCTTCTGCCTCCCGCTACCAGGAGGAGCCCTGCCCAGGCTCCGTTTGCCTGACGCTGGCCCCCGGGGAGGTGAGGACGTCTGGCTGATCACAAGCCTTCAGCAGGTCACACTCGCAGCCCCAGAGGCTAACGTGCAGTCTCCTGCAGGAGCAATACCACCATACCCACTCCAGACCTTCATGTCGTTACTTGGCATTAATGCAGGAACGACCGCGTAGAGAGCGGGACCGGCGCTGCCCGTGACGCCAAGGGGAAAGGCGAGCTGGAGGGCACCGAACCAGCTGGGGGGATGACCACCTTCAGCATCTCTACGCCGCGCCGCAGGACTGTAACGGACTAGAGAAACGTGTGGCTTTCGCCCCCTGAGAGGACAAAGGAAAAGCTTTCCGACGTGCAGGTTGCTTCCTGCTGTTGTCTTTCACCAGGAAGGGTACTGATAAACACACCGATAGCCGGGCGTTGATTAAAAAATCCAAATAAAAATCCATCATCACAATGTGCACCTCAGATCTTTACGAAATACCTATCTTGTGGCATCGGTTTTGGATGTTACCATAGATTTCAACATTCAAAAGACTTGTATTAAAAAAAGAATTATTCTACACATGAGAAGATCCAGGTTCCCCACATTTTAAAAAGGGCTTGCAACTTTCCAAAGGGACTTCCTTTGAATCAGTGTGAAGTTGAGGACAGGTCTCCAAAGACATGGATGACTATTTTCCAGAGTTACGAAAAAATATCCCAGGAACCATGAGTAAAACAAATGGAAGCAAGAACCTGGTATTTTATCTAAGTACAGCTCTGGAGGCACTGGTAGAGCCTCGAGCAAGCAGCTCTGGATGAGGTTGCAGCTGTAGCCTGAAACTGCATCCACCTAAATGTTGCCATGCCGCAAGCATGAACGTTCGGGAATACTGGACTTGGATTTCAGTTCCCCTTTCCTCAAAGGAACTGGGATTTCCAGGACAAAGAAAACAATCCTTTCACATGACCAAGCAGTCTTTCAGCTTATCCAGGCATTTCTCAGTGAGGTGTTACTACACAGAGGCTTTGGCACATTGGTAACTGCGTCTCATTTTAGGAGTCACCATTTCTCAACTCCAGATTATCCCAGTAACCAGTCTTACTCAAACCAGCAACCCCAAGTACAGTAACTTGTGTGTCACCTTCCAAATCATTACCTTAAAATATCATGATTCTGTATAACTGACCACAACCAGGATTTCAGAACCAAGTTACAGTTAATGAAGTCGCTCAAAACATGTTTGGAATTTCAGTACAGAAAGGGGCGCTCGCAGGAGGAGAGTCAGACAGAAGCACGCAGAGATGCCACCTCCTGACTAAAAATACCAGCCAAGTAGAACAAACAGGAATAAAAATATTCCAACTAGAGACAAAACCTAGCAACAAAAAAACAGCAAAAAAGGAAGTTCCTCATCTTGAATACCCTAAAACAGCAAAAAAGCCTCAATTCAGATTACTGCCAACTAAGAAATCTACTACAGTAAATGCATATCGTGAGCCAAGTGAAACTCCAACCATGCAAGACAAATGCTTCAAGAAACCAAATGTGTACCAAGTAATGAACATTAGACCCAAAACGCCCTCTTCTGTTGGAAGATGCGATCCAAAATAATTTAGTGCTCTCCCACTCTAAGCTGCAGAGTCTCTCTCTTTTGTAAACCCCATTCAAATCTTGGCTGCGCTAAGTCACACCTTCGAAGACAGGATGAGCTGCAAGGTTTTTGCTTCAGCACATCTAGATAAACTCCATTACAACCAAACCAGCTGGAGTGGAAAGAGCTGCTTCATTTTCAGGTGTTACCTGACTTCCCAAAGGTGACTCGATTACTTCTGTGTACCTGAAGGAAAGAGGGGACTCGCGGAAATGTCTGCCGGTGACTGACTGCCAGCAAGACCTCCAGCGCTTTGCACCTTGACATCAGCCACCTCAGCACCTAAGAGCTGGCAAATTTTGCCAGCAGACCAGTGGCGAGATAAACATTCCATTTATGTGTGTTGTCACAACTACGTCAGCAAAATAAAGCTTTGAGGCTCTGCAGAAATGCAAGTTCTCCCTTACAACTTGTCTCAGGTGAGGCTTTGAAAACTTTGCCACTGGCAAGAGCAGCAATAAAAAGGATTTCAGTGCAGAGGGCAAAAAGTCGATTTAATGGCGCTGTTCTTCTGAAGGATACCCAATACAAACTGGAATACTCGGCAGGAAGAAAAATGCTCATACCTCCTCCAAACCAGGAGTCACCGGCCAGCATTGCCGCAGCTCCATGGGTGGTACCGCAGTCAAGGCGACACGCCATCGGCATGCCCGCGTGCCAGATGCGGCCTCCCTAAGGCACAGGCCTCCCGCGCGCCCGGCACAAGCCCCTTAGCAGTTTTAGCTGGCGTCTGTAGCATGCGTGTAAAAATCGGTTCTCATAGCAGTTTCTATTGCTCAAAATTTCTTTACAAAAAGGCAAGTTTGTGGAAAAAGGTCAAGTGCACCTTACGTACAGATCAAAGAGTTTGGAGCATGAGTAGGCAGGCTGACAGTTTGGTTTTAAATGTACATAAATTTGAGATGGCACGGGACTAATTTACACAGGGGTCACTTTTACAGAGCCTGGATTTAAAAAGTGAGCAAAAAGGGGGGGGGAAGGGGGAAAAAAAACAAACTTAGGGATTTCAGAAGAAAATGTTTTAATAGAGCAACATCAACATTTCCGCAGAGCCCCTGGAGTTGGACAGCTGAAGTTTCCTTGAGTTGCGCTTCCGTAAATGAGGTTTCTAACAGCTGCAGGAGGGCATGCTGTTTGCATCAATTTTTGAAATAAGTAAATCTCTTGGCAAAAAATGTCTTTAATTACTTTAGCAGCAACAGTAAACAGTTTCCAATTGAACCAATGTCTAGTCAAGGGTTTTAAAATTATTTTTAAGATGAAGTTTTTCTGGTTGCCTGCAGTCTTTTGTTGAACGGCACAATTCCCGCACTTGGCTGGCTGCAGGTCTTCATTCTGGGTGCACTGAATACTTTGGATGTAACAGGCAGCTGCTAACCACGAGAGGGAATACACTCCGTGGTCTTGTGCTAGGTATGGTAAACTGCCAGCCATGGGAACTACTCCAAAAATTAAGCCCTTGTTGATCATGTTTTGCATTAACCATTCAAATTTTCCTCCTCACATACTCCAGTACTGAAGCTTGAGTAATAAAAATCAAGAATAATCCAAGTGCATTTTTGTTTTAATGTTGGCTGAACACTCTGAAGAGCACCGCAGAGTGGGGGAGGGAGGCACTCCGTGCCCAAAAAGGGGGAGCTAAGACTGATTCTCTAAAGGCAAGAGGATTTGTTTGAATTACGCTGTACAGCTGGAGGGAGCTGGTACAACACAGCACACGACTCCACCAGCGATGGCTCCCACAGAAGGTCGCGCAGTTGTGGGTAGTCTCAAGTCACTTGAGCTTGATGCAATTGCCATTCTACAAGTTCAGAGGAGTGGCTGGCAAAAGGTCTCACCACACATTTCTACAACCCTGAAATGAACTGAGAGGACAGGGCAGTGACTACAAAGCAGGGCGGGAGTGGGAAAAGACAAGAAAATAAGAGCATGGGCTGAGGGACAGACACAAGGTGCAAAGAAACATTGAAAAAACACCGAATAAAGAAAACTGCAGACCAAACAACACTGGCTGTATCCTACATACCTCCAGCAGCAAACATCAGTCCTAGTCAAATCCATGAAATGAAGACAACCCAAACGATACCTCTTTTTCCACAAGGGGACTCACACACCCCAACGCGTGGGAGCTTCCATTCCTCTTCTCATCGTTATTAACAAATGGAAGGATGTTTGGATTTTTGCTTTTCATCCAGATAACAGGACACGTTTTTGCCATCTGGTATATCTAACAAGCAGATATTCCTGTACAACAACCAGGGTTTAGAGGGTGTTCTGAAAACACAGGCCATTACAGAACTGAGCGGTTGCGCACGGATTCCAGGTTGTGTTAAACCGTAGCACCGCCTCAAGCAGCAAGGAGAGGGACACATCTGCCCATACAAGTGATAACAATTTGGCTTTTTCTAGAGATGGCTGCTACACTGAAGGAAGTCGCCAAAGCCTACACAGAAGACACAAAACTGTCACGCTCTCAGGTTTCCTAAGGGGCACGCACTAAAGGGGCACGCACTACTCATCACTCACGACATGGCTTTTTAAAGAAGCACAGAAAAAGATGAGGCCAAAGGGGCTAAAAACAGGTCTCCAGTACAGGAAGTTTTGCACTTTGGAAAAAAAAAAAAAAAAAAAGAGATTTAAAAGTCTCATGTTAGAATTGGAAGTCACCGTTAGGATTAATAGCACTAATCAGGAACTTATTCTTAAGCAAGTATTCCCAAACTGGAAAACCCCAAGATCTTTTTGGAGGGAAGGAGAGAGAGGGAAACTGAGCACACAAAGTAATGCAAAAATAGGTATATTTCTTAACCCACCTGCTATTAGGTCATCAAGAGTGTCGGTAAGCGTCTGTGCTGGAGTGGCAACCATTAATCCGTCTGGTTCTTGAACTAAGAGCCCCTGCCCAGCAATTTGCTGCTGCTGTCCTACATTCTGCTGATTCCCTAATGCTTTCTGAAGTTCAAGAGACTCTGTCCCATTATAACCTAAATTACCAGAAAAATGACATTGCGGTGCTGGCAAAGGCTGGATAGGGGCAAACTCAGCAGGTGGTGGAGACTCTTGTTGCTCATCATCTTTAGACAAGATTGTGTCAACCTGAGGTAACCCTGAAAAGTTATCCTCTGGCAGACCCTTATCGGCTCCCACTTCTGGGAAGACCCCTGTGAGTGGGCACTGCTGCTGCAGGGGAAGTGCTGTGTCTGTCTGCCCTTTGGTCTCCAAATATTCTTTGGTAAACTGCTGTTGGGTTTTCATCTGCAACTGCCTTTCCACCTTCTGCAGCTCCTTCAATATTTTCTTCTTCTTCTGTACTTGTTCTTCTCTGTTCTTTTTAAGTTCTTCAATCTTATCTTTATTTAAAGGTTCACCTTGAATTAATTCCAATGATTTAAGTTGTGCTTTTTCAATAGCACTAATTCTCTGTCCAAGTTCATTCAGCTTGCCTTCAGTCTCTTCTACTATGCATTCCAAAGGCTGGTATGGGTGAAAAGGTGGCAGTAGGTCCTTATCTGCTACCTGCAGGGAACTTGACTTCTGCTTGGATGCACCTAAGCACATGAAAAATGTTTGAAAAAATGCCATGCTGAAGATACCCCAAACCTCCCCTCTCACCCACCCCAAAAAAAAAAAAAAAAAAACCAAAACCAAAAAACAAAAAAACAAAAGGAAAAAAAAATCTTTACAACTAACCCTGCACATCTGCCAAAGCACAGGAAGGCAAACCCTGCACGCCATGTTAAGGCAGGAAAGGCAAAGCATATGGCTGGAGTTTTCAATATTGATCCTAATACCCCTTTGAACACAGCTATTTCAGTCTTAAAGAATATGGAACCTTTATGGTTTCTGGCACCCAGGGCAACGCATCTGGGAGGGAAATCAGCAAGAGCAGCAAGGCAATTTAAAGAACTTACTGAGTTCCCAAAGTTGTGCTGGCAGGCAGAGCAATTAAGCCAAGACTATTTTCCAGAGGCTAACTTCAGCAGCAAGGGTACAAGCAAGAGTAGCCTACGTTGGAGAGAAGACTAACTCCAGTCAGATCAGCAGCTGGAACTGCTACTGCTCCGAACACTATCCCATTCCACCTTACATTACAGAATCCTGCCAGTGCAGACTTAACATATACAAATATATTTTGAAGCATTAGCACCTTTTTAGAAGTTCTGACACAAAATTAACAGCTTGCTTGCCTCCCGCTCTCCAGTAACAGATTAACAATTCCGCTCACTATTAAGGCTTAAAAAATAACCTTAGCACGAGCCTAGCAAGGAACACCAAGGCTTCTCTGAGCGCCCACTACCTCCGAGCACCCCAAGGCTGCCCTCCCGAGAGCCAGACCTCTGAAGCCTCCAGTCAGGTCAGGAATCTAGCAAGTGCTGCAATTTTAATTATGTCTTCAGTGTAAGAAACTTTAATTAGACATGTGGAAGGTTTTAGCCTGATCAAATAATTTTCTGCACTAACACTCACTTGCTATACCCAAATAGTGATTTATGTAGCTTTAAAAAAAAAAACCAAAAAAAACCCAAAACAAAACCAACCAAGAAAACTTGTATATTTACAAAGCAGACTCATACAATTAAACATTAAAAGAGGAATTAAAATTATGTACCCTTTAAGCCATGGCTCAATAGAGTCACCTAAACATCACACAGTTAAGTGAAGATCTGGATGCAAGAACGAAGTCCCAGACCAGTCACTAGCTCTGGAAGGATTAACTTTTCTAAACCACCAATTTATTTCTCTCTGGGCCTTCCTCCACCAAAATACCACTTAACAAGTGACTTCATTTTGCATTGCCGTCAACACAGGAGTCGCATACGCCTCACTCTGAAATGAATTTTTGGAGGAACTAATTGAAAAAGCAAACAAATCTAAGAATTTTCTCTTAGAAGAAAACTCTCTTAGAAAGAGCAACTATTAAAATAGAGTTGAACCAGCCCAGTGCTGCATACCTTCACCAGAGTGCCCGGAGGGAAAGCAAACTATATCTGAAGTTAAGGGAAACAACTGTCTTAGCCCCAGCATCCCACAAGCACCGCAGGCGCCCTTCGGGAAGCTCCTTCTCCCGCTTGGTACTTTACAGGGCTGCCTTGCACCCGTCAGCAGCTCCAGCTGAACTCCAGCCACCACTATTATTTTGTCTCTGAACCATAAGCGAGTCTGACAATTTCTTGGAAAACAACAAACAATCTGACCCAAGTTAGCGATAACTTGCTTGGTGCTGGCTGGTGGACACTGAGCTCAAGCCTGCTCTAAGCTGCACGTTGGTTATTTGGCTTTGTGGGGTACCTGGGGTTTACAGAGTTATCCTTTCATTTTAAGAAGTGTGACTTACAACGTAAGTTTTGCAGACCACTTTTGAAAAATATATTTGCACTCACCAAAAAATCTCTGAAATGCTTGCCTGTATCTTCGTTAGAAACTAAGAGAAGTCAGTCAGTGCCTTTTGGGACTAAGCTGCTCCACTGCCCAACTAGCAGGAACATTCTAGTCCCCTAACTGCCAATCCACCCGGCCTTTAAGACACGACCAAGATGGGAACCCTTTGCGCTGCTCTGTTTAATGTCATTCCTGAGGTCATTTCCATCCTAACACAAAGCACTGCCACGACCTGGCAGCTCTGGACAGCTTCCATCACTCTGTAGGAAAGAGAAGCTGCAGTTCAACGAGCCCCCCGATACTGAAGCACCAGTATCACCCCTCTCGGTCATGTCCCACCTCAGGAGAACACAAGCCTGCCACAGGAAAACTCTTCTACAGGCACAAGAGACAGCAGAGAGCAGGAGTACAGCCCAGCACCCAGGCCTGGAGAGGCGGGAGAGCCAAGGCTGGCAGGCAGCGCTCCCCGGGCAGTGGCTCCGTCCGGGAACGACCACGGAAAGCTGGGAGAGTTTGTGAAGACAGGCATTAGGAGACCAGCGAGTGAAGAGCTGGGCTCTCAAGCTCCAGGAGAGGTGCAGAGATTTACTTTAATCAGCTTCTAATTAGTTAGCAGGACCTCTTTCCAGATCCAGAAAAAGAGTTACAACTGGTAATCTGGGGGATACTGGAAGAGGATGAGGGGTAGGAATAAAGATCTGCTGCACCTGAACAGCCAGTTCAAACCAGAGGTGGAGAAGACGCTGTTGGTAGCTTTGAATATGTAAGCACTGTAATATAATATTATAAACTATTGGAAGTATTGAAAAGTAGCAATTTCCTGTGTTAGCCAAATCTCTTCTGTATCACAATATCCTGAAAATACTATGCCAGTTTTAGGAAATAATTATGAACAAGATTACTTTATACTTTCACTTTTGAAATACCCAAGTGCAGGATTAAGACTTAAAAATCCAGTCACAGGCCAGATCGTAACTACTGCAGCTTCCCCCCCCCCCCCCCCCCCTTCATTCATCTTTTTGGTGGAGAATTAATCTTCCACACAACCAACCTCCTACAAAATTAAACCTAGCAATGGTAAGGAGCCAGTCTAGGCCCTAAAGCAACTGATTTGGCCACTTTTAGAAGACTTGTTTAGTATGAGATGACAGCTGAGGATCAATGAAATCCAGGTCTTGCTACACCAACAGCCCCTGCCATCGGGGAATCGCGACGACAGGACCAGGAATTGTCCGGTTGACAGAAGACCCAGAGCGGTTATGGGCACACCAGGAAAGCCACAGTGTAAGGAAACTGCTGTTTCCCAATCTGTTTTGTGAACAGGAGCACCAATTGCTCTTTTATTTACATTTTCATATTCCCACGGGTTCTGGCCCCTAACCTGACCAACCCAGCCCTCACAACTCCTGCAGAGCCTGCACGGCCAAACAACGGGCTGGAGACACCACACCCAGGACTCGGGGCAAGGCACAAAGGCAGCTGCCCACCCACTTCTCTGACCTCTTCTCCTGGCCAAGAAAGGAGAGGCAAATGTCTCCTACGGAAGTCGCACACTGCGGATAATCTCCTGAGTACCTGAGCAGCAACAGACCCAGGTGAGCCCTCCCCAAGCACCATCCCTGGTCTCCTGAGCACCCAGTACCAGGCAGGGAGAAGACCATGACCAGTTTTTAATGCCTTCTGCCTGCAAGTAACATTTAAAGGTCCTGGACACTGTGAGCAAGAGCTTGGAAAAGTAACTTCCATATTTATTGTCCTCAGGTGGCTCTCCTAAGCAATTAAACTCTTCTAATTTAAATTTGCTTAAAACACATTCCCCCTTTATAGGGTTGCTGCCTACAAACAGGTCTGGTACCATATTTCTTCCTCTGTGCTTATGATTCTCGAGGAACTTGCTCTTCCAGCCCTGACTTCTAATCCATTGGATGTCATCTTCTCCCAGGAAAGCAGTAATTCATATGCCTCTTCACCATGAATAGAGCAGCAGAGGTGAGATGCTACCGGTCCAGAACAAGCCTACCTAACGCGAGCTCACCGACCCCAGTGACGCCGTTACCCCACGTACCGCCTGCGTTTGACAGCACCCAAATGCCAGCCCTGTGCCTTACAGCAGTAGCACGGGCTACACGGGCACTGTCCTCCACAAGGTATTTACTCCAAGGAAGCGTCCGAGCAACACGAAGTAGAGAAGTCATTTCCTTACATAAACGAAGCCCAGTTCAGCTCTTACCCTAAAGCCCTGACTGACGGATTAGCAAGGACAGACGTTTGCTCTATTTACAGCCAGCAACAGAAGTTTAAGAAAAAACACTACTTGATTTTTAAGGTCTTTTCAGAAAATTAAAAAGACCAAAGGTTGGTTTTTACAATCCATTGTATTCTTCGGGAAGTTTTTGTCAACACAACTTGCATTTCAGCTGAGGGGTTTTCATCCTGGCTACCACCTGCAACAGTTCTATTATACCGGACTTTTATTAGATGAAATCCTAGGACTTGTTGACAGCTCTTTAATTTCTAGAGTTGTTAAACAAAAAAACCTCAAAAAAGAAAAGTTGATCCAAATCTGAATAGTTAAATTCAAAAATATTTTTCCAGCATTAAAAAAAAAAAAAAAAAGCAAGAAAAAGGTCAACCTTGATACACATTTGTACATTCAAATACATCTTTCTCTGCTGGAACCAATATCCAGTGTACAAATCCGTATGGACCATCGTGCCATCCTGATAGGTACTACTTCCCAGAACTTTAAAAAACAACCCCAAACCCCCCAAAAACCCTAAAACACCACCAAATACAAAAACCCAACACAAAGCAACCAACCAGATAACCAGATTCAGTCTGTTCGGCACTTCCCAAAAGGCAGATGTCAGGAAGCATAAATCCACGCTAAGATTTCCTGTGCTCTGTTAACAGAATTGCTTGTCTGCTGTTCTCGTGCTTCAGGGCTTTTTAAAAATCTAATTTCACTCACAAGTCCAGAGTTAGATTTGCAGCCTGCAATTAAAATTCACCAGCCTCATCAAGAGGAACACGATGAGCTCAATATTGAATTTTTATGAAAATCCTGTGTTTAACCGTAATTCCTATCAGTAAAGAAATTCAGCTCTAAGAACCTGGGGAAACAATCAGTCCATCCACATACACCCAAATGCAAAGTGTGGTGGTATGCAACCTGGCTCACTGGGCAACCAAACAGAGCCTACTTTTCCCGCATAAATTCATTTGCCATGTTGTTTTTAACATATCTTAATTCTTCTTTATGAAGAACAGGACGATTTGTGGAGGGCGGAATGATCAGATGAATTTGTGTTTTCACTACATTCCTCCTGCGGACCATGCAGTCTTTTTGCCAATCGTTACCACTCCGGCAGCTGTTTCTACACAAAACTTGCAGGGTGCGATGGTACCCAACAGGCAACGGTTACACGGCCGAAACCAAGCCAAACTTAACTCAGTTTTCCAACATTCCAAAATTTGAGTTACTTTTCAATCTTAGCCTTCTTCCCAAGTTTCCTCTGGTGGCTTGATGGTATCTAACTGGAAAAATTGCTAAGATGCATTTAGATTAGTCAGCAGCAAGCAGGTGACTGAAGCTTCAAAGGAGCAGAACTTCAAAAAACACCGTGAAAAGATTTTTATATGTTTGTGCTCTTGAGGACCTACACGCCTTGTCCTTAGATCATCTGCCTGCACTGCGACAGGTTTGCATGAAGAGTAACAAGCCTTTATGTCTACTAGGAACGGATTAGCAAAGTTCACAGGGCACGAGGCACGGACTGTTACACTTCACCCGGTAATTCATCCCGGATAACCGGGTCAGCTGCTGAGCCAGGCAGAAAATAGGGAGGACATGGCAAGAGTTATCAGATGTTGAAGCACATGGAACAACGACCAGGCACCAGGACTGTGCGGCAGAGAATTCTGAAAGGAGTCAGAATGGAAAAAGCAAGAATGTCAGCCTTCACCTCCATGAGGACAACAGAATCTTTCTAGTTCTACTGTTAACCTGGCCCCTCTTTCAATTAGATCACACACTGTATGAGATCTCTGCCAGTACGTAACTCGATATTAGACATAAAAGACAGATACTGGAGTAGAAAAATATTTACAGAATCTGTAGCTATTCGAGCTACATGGAGTTTGTTTTTCTCGCCTTTCTCCAGGCCATTAAACTTAGATTTAGCACAGGGATACAGACTCCCATATATTGAAGGTCTAGCTTAAAAAGCTTATGGATTCCAAAAATCCCACCCAACTTCAAGGGAACTCTGGTCTCCTTCCCAGGGATCAAAGGCAGATGCGGGTAGCTTTCATGAGAATAACTTGAGTCTGTTAGGTCTTGTGGAATTCTAAAAAACCCTGCACTCCAAATGAGAAACACTGACAGCTATTGCCCACCTAAAAACAGTGGAGAAGTCCAATGACAGCGTGCTGGAAGGGTTTAAGCACTCGGTTAAGGCCAATTAGCTCATTTGCAAGCACAATTTCAGATTAGCTATGAAGTAAAAGAAACCTGGAGACAAGCTCACAAAATAACTGATACCTCAGCCTCCAAAACCAGACTACTTCAAATCTTGACGTGTTTAAAACCACCTTGCACTTCAAATATTTCAACTAAGAAAACAATCCTGCTGCTTTCCACCGACTTCCCGAGCACCTCATTGCACTGACATGTTGTTTTGCAATGATGGTCTAAAAACGCGCCGCAGGTTGAAGTCGCTGCACTCACCAGGCACGCTCTGCGGAGGACCGAGGCAGAACCACAACCACCACTGGGAGCTTCAGAGCCCACCCTCACCAAACCTTAGCTTGCGGCTACAAACCAGGCGAGGTTATCAGCGGCAACACTATTACACCAGCTGATTTCCTGAAGAAATGCAACAGCAGTCCCTTCAACCATCCCATCTGCTGGCCACCGAGACCCCCCCCACCCCGTGAGCTGGACGTGGGGCACTTGGAGCTGCATCACAGCTGCTGCGCTTTACACCCCTTGCGGTGTAAAGCAGGAGACACCCTCTGGTCCCACAGAAATAGCACCTTTGTTTTTTCTGCAGAACGACTCGCTGCGTTGAGCCGCTGCATCGGAATTCCTGCCGGCCGCTGAGCACCCTGAGCACCTTCAGGTGAGGGAGGCGGCCAGCACAGAGCACCCAGGAGGGGTCTCCTGCCTCGCCCCACAAAAGCACCAAGAGCTGAACTGGGATTTCACTTCTACATGGACACAACAGACACAGGCTAAACACAGCACACTGAAAACCTTCCTTCCCACGCACGTAAGAATTGAGGTCTGTTCGGTCCCGTGAACGAATTCTGCTGCTCCTTTCACCTGGTTTTTCTTCGGCTCGTTCAGAGGTTACCGCCTTTGTGCACCACCTTTATCCAAGCCTCTCTAGATCCACTGTCAGCTCCAAAATGTTTCTCTCTTCAGTTGCTAAATGCTGATATTAAATCCTCTGCCAAAATAATTATTCAGATGGCAACCATTCCATGTGCCTTCTTACTTTACTGAAGAATAATAATGTAATTCAGAATTAGACCATAAATTCCTCTTGAAAAACCTCACACCATATTTGAATCACAACAGTAACATGCAGGCATATTCTAGTTTCACACTTGGCTTGCCAAGAACTCTTCAGGAAACACATTTCTTGCAAAACTAATTCAGGCCTTTAAAGACCAGCCTGCGCCAAGGTTAGGAAGGCTCTGTGTTCCTCGCCTTCCTCCACGCAGTTAAGCATTTATAGAAAAGCTCAAGGGGCTGCTTCTAACTGCTAAGGCAAGAAATTTGTCTTCCCCGGGATAAACAATTTTGTTACATTAGAACTTAAGACTGCTTCCCCCCCGAGGAATGAGCGTGCCTTTATTTGCACCCTCTTTTGCCCCTCGTCTCCCAAGAAGCCCAACGATGAGCGCCCGGTATACTGAAGCCATGCGTGCGTAGCAAGAACCCAAGTCCCCCAGAGAACACTGGCTCTAGCACAGTTAAAGGAGCAGCAGCATCCCTACCACGATCACACGGCGTTTAGCACAAAAATACCCTTTTTCCCCCTAAAGACCTGAGACACAAGAGCTTTGCACACCAAGCCTTCAGGAATGCTTCACCAGCCCAGCGACACATTTCCAGTTGCTGCATCTCTTGCAGAACGTCACCGATCGTTCCGCTGACAGGCATGAAGCATGTCCTGAAACACCGAGAGCAACTGCATCTCTCTCTGCCAGTTCCAGCAACACCAGACTGCGATGCACGTATCTAAAGTGTGCTGGCATTCACAATATTGGGGTTTTTTAACAAGCTATTTCTTAAACTACAAATCAACTATTTGCCTTTCATCATTGGATTAAATAACACGAGACTAACTTTAGTCTCCTGGCTCAGTAGCCCCTAACCTCTCCTTGATCTCCACACCCCACGGAACATGCTTCCAGAGCACCACCCCGCTGCCCAGCACTAACAGTTGCTTGATTGTACAGGCACCCGTGCTGGTAGATGGCTTTTTGCTCTTTTATTTGAACCAGAAGTTGCGTATTCTTTTTGGTACTCATTTTTATGAAATCCAAAATAGCAAGTGTTGCACATCCTAGGAAAAAGATAGGATAACTGCATTTGGGAAGTCACACACACAGCATGTACACATGGAGCGCGCCACGGCTGCACGCTGCAACACCGGTAGGTACACAACTGCTTTTCTCTCCTCTCTTGTGCCCCGGGGGTTGGTTGGTTTGGTTCAGGAAGCACTGAGCACTTCCAGAATAAAGGAATTCAGTGAGGCTAATAGAGCCTCCGATACTGTAACATTTAATATCCCCGTCCAGAACTGGAAGTGAGCCGGAGCTGCAGTTTGTAACCTTCCACTTGAGAATCTGCTGCTCTTTCTGAGCTGACTTAGCGGACATGAAGGATATGTTACAGAACCCACAGCTGCAAACAAACTGCTAGACTGGCCATGTAATGGCTGCAAGTCATTTTAACTGGTCAGTTCAACCACGTTCAAAGCAAAAGCCCTGACGTTACAATTACTTACAAGAGCACCATTACTAATACAAGAAAAATTCTCCTGTAAGTAGATCTGCGTTGGCATTTTACAATGCCAACACATTGCATTGTTACCGCAGGAACAGAAAAAAGCCAGTAAGTTGCTATATCAAGTTCACGGATAATAGTTGCAACTATTCTAGACAACCAGTGTACAATACTCAGAAGTTAACACCATGCCCAGAGTTTGTTTTGTATCAGTCTGCACTATGGCAGTTACCAGAGTCATTCTCTTCAAAAAAAAGCTTAGAATAAGCATAGCTCTAGTAAATGAGAATAAGCAAATAAAATCAGAATAACCAGGGTTACTACACTGTAGGATACAAGAAAATGAGCAAAACCTACACGCTACATAAAATACTTTTAAGTTTACTTCACTGGAGGAGTTCAAGAACTGAGTGGGCTACGCTATGCATAAGCTCTAACCAAACTGCCCCCAGCCTATCAGCCTCCAAACCGCCTGTGTTCTGTGAGCGTCCGCATACTAACCTTTCACCACTCCCAAGAGGGGTGGCGAGGTCTCTGGAGGGGCTCTGTCGGGTTCCTGGGGAGGTACAACCATCGCAAGGGTATGCACTGGTACACGTGGAACCTTCAAACAAAGCCACAGACACACACTCAGATGAAAAAACCTTTGGAATGGACGAGATTGGGGAGCGTTAATACAAAGACATGTTTGTACAGCAGAGCTCCGTTTCACTCCTCCCAAACTGTGTACGCTATGCTCCCTCTTGGTGTGACCTGTCCCATGCTATTTTATCGTGGATAACGTGTCAGAGTTAACGATGTTGCTCTTCACAAAATTCCAGGCTGTGTGTAGGCTGGAGAACTGTTAACAGGCTTTTAATTGACTAACTCCACTGGAAAGCTGCCTCACCAGCCTGCAGAATTCTGAATTTACTCAATGTATTTTCTTTCACGTAACAACCACAGTCAGCAACAACGTTTGAGGGGTGCTGTCACAAGGGTTTAGAACTGTTGAAACAACACACTGAGCAAATGCAACCAAGCAAATAATACTGGTTTGAGACACCAGGTTTGGGATCATCCTGCCTACGGCGCAGAGAAGGGAACAAAGCCCGTGAGCTGTTCAGGACACTGCAGGCAACACAATCATCTTTCTCACTCTCTACCATTTTCAAATGTGTGGACTTTTTCAATTCTTTCCACTGTCTATGTTCCCATCTGAACTAACTTCAGAAGTTAAATACTACAGAAGTGCTTCTTTGCAACTTCCATGGTGGTATTTTAAAGAAATTCCTGATGCCTTACCTGAGACTGATCCTGAGACGGAGGTGTGAGCTGAGACAAGTCTGCTGCAGGAACCGACAAGACGTTGTTGGGGTAATCCAGCAAGTAGGAAACAACATTTGTATGTCCTCCTTTGGCGGCTTCAATGAGCATTGTTGAGCCATCCTGAAGTGAGATGTTGGAAACAAAAAGCCGAAGATGAATTTTGCTGCCTGGCGTAGCACGCAAGATATGAATGAGACCGTAACAAATGGCACATTTACCAATCCATTAAATCAACTACGCTGGCTCTTTCAGTACCTACGATAAATGCAGAGTTTGACGTGAATACCTTGAGCCGATGAGTAGGATCTGCACCATGAGCCAGAAGGAGCTCAACAACGGCCAGGTGGCCTCCCGCGCACGCCAGCGACACCACCGTGTGGTCATTATTAGCTGTAGCCCTGTTAACGTTGGCACCTATGAAGAGATGATCTCAGAGTTAAACACAAGGAAATTCTTTTCAAAAGGAAGTATCAAGTACAGTGTTTTCTGGAACAGAGGTAAACTCCTCTCTTCTAACCCTCCTAATTCCTACACACTTCTGGGGTAAAAGCAAGGGATTTTGGATAACTGATGGCTTCTACACATCATCCTCTTCATCTTGTACAGATGAGGCAGTAACAGCAACAGTGGCCTCATGAACGGTGAGAGAGGGGGAAGTACTTCTGGTGTACAAAGCACAACGTTTAGATTTTCATCCTAAGCACTTCTCAGCGTCATTCCATGGTGCAATTTTTAATGTTCCAGACAGTACTTGAGGATGGGTTTTTTCTGAAGGAAGGAGGGCTCTTTTTAAGAAACTGAAAACATTTGCTGTACTTCAAATCTATTTATTAAACTATACAGAGCGGGGAAGTAACTAGCAAAAATATTTTGTGATTCATTGTATCATGAACTAAAAGAAATTCAAAAACTCTTCAGTTTGACAAATGCTCATATACACAGAGCCACATTAATTTTGGAGAAGGATCACAAACATGCAGGATTGTAAAGTGGCATTTTAAGTTTTTTAATTAGTTATTTAAACTGGAGTTTTACCTTTGCTAATAAGGAATTGCACAGTGCATAAATGACCAGCTCGCGCAGCCTTCATTAGTGGGGTTCTCCCACCTTCAGATTCATGCTCCTATTATAGAGGAGAAATTGCAGATGTATAAACAGGCAAAAATTAATTATACCATCATTTCAGCTATTGAACCACCTCGTGATGGGACCAGAATTACCTGTCTCAGCAGAGATCTATCTTACAAGCTGACAGTAACCAATATAAACTGACTGGAACAACTTTTCACGTTACCTTACATACTGAATCATACCGTCAAAAAGCGTTAAGGCCATGTCCATACTGTTACCACATAAGGAAGCTTCCCTACTTATATACCCCTTTGTATCGGAGAGTTCAAATCTATAATGTACTTGAGAACAGTAACATCTTGTTTCCTCCACAAACATCCTCCAGCAACAGGAATTACACGAGTAACTGCGAACCGAGGTGCAACAGTTCCGAGAGCTGTCACATGCTGCATGCCAGACCTTAAAACTGCAGTAACGTCTGAAGCACAGACGACGTTTTTAAAACACGCTGAAGAGGATCAGCAATAAAAATGAGTCACTGCAGGTCACAAAAAGTCTCTGAATAAGAGGATTGGGGAATAAAGCAGGATGAAGACAAAAGGATGAAACAGCGAGGGGAAAAAAGGAACGAGCAACAAGAACAATTTTCTTACTTAGAAAGTTTCTGACTACTGGAAAGATGTGGTTGAATACAACTGCGTTAGAGAAGTTACAGAACTAGAAAATTTGCCTACTATGTAGACATGATCAATACCACAAAGAATGCTGACTAACGAACCCTCCCACAGCAACAAGGGCAGAGAACCTCATCTTCCTGGGAGCGCTTGTATTTGCGCTCCGAGTATTCGGCCTGATCAGTGACATGCTTGGACCATGGGGGGTTTTAATTAAGTATCTGGGAAGCCAAGCTCTAAATTCATTGCTTACTTCTAGAATTGCCGTGTATCTGACAGTGAAAGTTAACATTTAGCACTGACAGTGGATGATACTGCTATGTACAAATATAAAAGGACAAGATTTGTCCTGTGAAATCTATTCTTGTCCTTCCCATGGTTTCAGTACTCCTGAACACTCTGCATGGGTCCTTTGACATATGGCTCGCTTTGGTTGCAAGCTGCACCTTAAGTTAGCTTTCTGTTCATACACCCGAAGAAGAAATATCTCGACTGGATCTTTTCCTGGAGATTGACCCTGTGCAGAAAATAGAAACAATCCTTTGCTGTGACAGGGGCTACACCGCTCCTCTCCTATGTGCTTTGGGAAGAGCAGAAACGCTCTGCTCCTGCGCCTCCGTAAGAACTTTGTATTCTTGCACACTGCTTTAACACACACTTAAACTCCACATTAGTGCTCGGATTTCTTTGCTTACTTGGTGCTATAATACGCAAGTGCATGCAGGCAGATAGGAAGCCTTGCAGAATTACTACTGAAGTGTCCCCCTCTCCCCCACCTTTTTTTTTAGTAAGTAGATTCCACTCCCAGAGCAAACGACTGCTTAGCTGTCGATAAATACATGCATGCTTTTGGATTGTCTGCATGTCAGAAATACTTGCCGGACATGTCAAGCTAATTATGTTAGTATGTGGCCCTATGATGGGCGAGAATTAGTAGCATGCCCTTGAGCTCTGATGCTTACTCCGGTATTTGGCATAGCTTTTCCTTCCTCAGCCACTGCCAATAGATCATAAAAAGCCAGATGCTGCTGTTCTCCTTAGGCACAGTAAGCCCCTGGTACTGCCGGCAAATCACTCACAAGAGCATCTACGGATGCGAAGAACTACCGAACACCACTGAACCCGCTGAGCAGGACTGGAACATCACTGCCCAAACAATTTAATACACATTTCTAAGTCCACATTGATGCAACAGCAAAGATGGCAAGAAGCAAAATTTATTCTAGATTATCTTAGCTATATTCAAGATCGTGAAAAGCCATGCTATAATGCATTCAAATGCAGCATTTCAGAAAACTAGCAGTAATTATTTGCACCATTCTCTGCTCCTAACAGACTTCACTGTTGAAGTCTTAAACACGGATGTCAGAAGGCTTCCTCATTTAAATGCGATGCAGCTATTCTGCCCAGTTTAACCAACTGTCACTCCAAGCAGGCAGAACTTGATCCTCAACCACTATACACTTCAAACGCTTGCAGTACCATACACATCCTCAGTCCAGCCAAACTCAACCATTTGTGTGCCCACCTGCCGCAGATCTTCAACAGTTACTGCATTTTGAGGGTATTTTTCACATCAGAAGATCGAAATGCATGTTTTATGTTAAGATTAAATTAATTCCATGACTTCAGCACTCTGTTTAGCCCTAATAAAGGCTAGCAGATAGCATCAACTCAAGCTTTAAGGGAAGACATCCAGAACAAGCCAAAATAAGAGGCTGAGCCAGTGCAGTGCCTTTGTCTACTCGTATCCTTTCTTTTACCTGGAATGGCCATAAATTTCAAAGATTTTCTTTTTCTTTAGCTGTAGTAGATAATCAAAATCAGGACAGAGAACATGAAAGCTGTCCAGAAGCATCCCCCATCAGCTTTCCAATGCGCTTCTTCCTTGTACTAATATGAAGTGCATGCAAATGCTTATTTTGTAACGAAAACTAGCAGGGAGCACTGCTCTCCAGAGACCGCTTCCCCGGCGACCTGCACCGTGGGACGCGCCGCAGCACTCTGCCGCTCTCCTCTGCTCCAGTCTGAGCAACAGCGCAGTCCCTGTCATCAGAAAGGGGTGCAGAGGCGACCGCCCATGGCAGCTCTGGCTAGAAAAGCCATTCTCTGAACACCCGAGTGATGTGCTCTCTTGCTAATTCTGCTTGCATGGAAAGAACGCCCGAGAAGATTTTCTGAAGGCTTGGGCACCAGATTGGAAGGAAGGGGAAAGCGAGGTTACTACCCAAATCAGGCAAAAGTTTACAATATCTGCACCTTTCCCACTGGGCCTCAAAAAGGAGAGGAGGAGAACGCAGTAATAATTATTTACTTTCTGGACAAATCAATACTTCAGAGAGCAGAGCAAAAGCAGCACCATCAGAAGCATTTGGTGGCAATCACTGGTTTGGGGTTTTTTTTTTGGTCTTGATTTCAAGTTCTCTGTTTCAGGCAATTCCAGGATCAGCTACGTAAGGGCTTCCTCCCCGCCATCGTTCTCCCTGGTTCACAAGTGTTTGTGGTTGGCAAGCATTATTCACTAGGATTTTTTTTTTTATTTCCAATGTCATATGCTATTTAAAAGTTCTAGCACAAAATCTGCATTTTCAATGTAAAGGTCCAACTGCTCTCTTCCAGTTCTTTAACAAGCCTCTCATCCATGACAGCAGTGAATACGTAACGGAAGCCTATGTGTTATCCTAAGCAAAATGATTTAGACAAAGGTTTTGATGCAAGACAACAGCCAAGCAATGTAGTTCTTAACACTATGCCACGCTGCTCATTTTCAAGACTGAACTCCTACCAAGAGATACGGCATTCTAGCAGCCACCAGCCCAACCGTCCAGATAACCTTCCTGAGATAGGTGCCAAACCAGTATTGCAGAGGAACCTAAAAACTCAGCTAGGTCTCTAGTTTAAAGCAAGTGCCTGAAAAGGGAAGGCCTTGCAGGAAGCCAGGCAGGTACTAGCAGGTTTAACACAGCTGCTTTTGTGCAAGTTGAGATGATACTGGTCTTTTAGAAATAGGGTTTTAGAAAACCCAACAGAAGGGAAAATGCAGGACAAAGATGACACGTCTAGTCTACACCGCAAGTCTTTGTATTTTTGAAGAAATTTAGGTGCCTTAAAGCCATGCTTGTCATTAGCATGTATCCTGAGGCTGCAGCTTACAAGCATCAAAGGCCAACCTCACCTGATGCTTGCCCGGCTCTATGCCCTCCAAAATAGTCTTCTTTAAGTCCTCCTGTTTGTCCTGCGGAAGGAAAAAGAACAACTCACGGCTCTTGTTCTACAAATAAATGTTGTTCTTGGTCATGAAGACCTGGAACATGAACTTAAATGGATCAGATCCACCAGCTGAAAACTCTGTTTTTCTGGAGTTAGCAAGCAAGCACAAGGTAAGCCCAAGCAATGCAGCTCTCACCAGTCCAGACTCCTACCACAAGCCATCCAGACTCACGAAGAGAGCACAAAGGTCATACACAGCATCTCGTTAAGGACAAGATTACTTTTTGTTCACTACTGGCAAAAGAGAGCATTTCATTGCACTTTGCACCACCCAGAGACAGCAACACAACATCCGAAAGGTGTTAACTACAAAAACTAGTTTCACATATCCTACAAGTTTTTGCTTTATTTGTAAAAGACTGAGGGCCAAGTCTAAAAAGCCCCAAAATCCCTGCCCTTCCCCGATGGTTCAGGAAACAGCATGGGAAAACATGACAGCTCCTCAGACCCCTCACTGTAACGACAAGACAGCTACCTCCAGCATGGTTTCATTCAAACCCATAACGTCCTGGCTACTGCTGTAGATGTTTAAATGCTGCCTTACACACACGGCATCAAACGCGCGGTGCATCATACACACACAGCAAAGGGAGGCTCTGATTAAGGAGCCGCATTAGCATGAGGGATGTTATCAGCTGAAGGTAAAGCAACGACAAAAACATCTGGCTAAAAAAATTTGTCATAGGGGAAAAATAAAAAGGTAGTTTGGCTTCGGGGGTGGGGGGGATGTTTGGTTTGATTTTGGCAGTTGGAGTTACATGGATGCCAGGTAGCCAGTTTCAGTCTTTTAAGCAAAGCCACGTGTGGAATTTTAACAAGTACGAAGAGCTTTGGGGAGAGCTTGACAGCATAAAATGGGAAGAATGCAAGGAAGAAGCTACCCTCAGGGGGTCTCTTCCATCTCTCAATTTCAGCATAAAAGCACCCATATATCTTGCAGTAGAAAGGTAAACTCCATCACCAGATCAACTTTCCTGCGCAGCAGAGCCTCATGTACAGCTGCAAGGCAGCCCGGATTAGAAAAACCCCAATTTAAAACTCTTTTCTGTACTTCTCAGCTGAGGAAAACTGGGATCTTCTTGCTGTCCAAAACAGAACAATATCTCTTTTGTTTTCAGCTACGCTGAAACAGGCAAAGATGCAACCACCTTGTCAAGAGCCGTCTCGCTTTCAGAAGGGAGACTGGAATCTCCAGTGTGCAGCATTTCATCAAGGTCTGATTCTACATTAAAGGGGAACAGGCATCCAGACAGGCACTTTTGGCTTATAGAAAGGTACACAGCTTAAAAGCAGGATATTGTCTCTCATTAAATATCACCAATACGCTGTGAGCTTTACAGTCCTTAATCTCGTTCCTGTGGGTACATACATGCACCACGCATGTCTTACCTTCTACTAGCTTTGAGATGAAAGTAATTGCTAGTAAAGACACAAAGAAGAAAAAAGAAAGAGAACTCTTATAGGAAAAACAGAAGTCTCCTCTCACCTTTGAGATTAGACAAATCCTTGCCACACGGTAAGTAACTGTTAGTACTGGTTATTTTTTCCGGAAGCTATTAAACCATAGCACCGCTTAGAAAAAAATGCGTTCATCAAATCATATTTCAGAGTTCTAATCTCCAAAATTTTACTCCTATTAATCACAAAATCTAAAGTAGGTATTTTGTCCCCATGAAGAAGTTTATAAACAAGTAAGATTTACATTTGGTCCAGCAGCAGGAGCTCAGACCAAGACGCGGGAAGTCTCCAGTCCTGCAGGCGATAAAGGAACTAGAATGCAACTAAGGCACAGATGGGATCACAGGCTGAAGTCTTCAGATGTGCCTCATATTCAGTCATTCATACACTTGGCAAAAGCAAGCCGATTTCAAAATGCATACATTAACAAGGAAGGGTGTAGGCCTGCCAAGCTAGTGTTGCTACAGCTTTTGACAGACCAACTTTGTCCCTGGAAGGACATGGAAGAGACAGATCCCTTACAGAAGGGCATCGGAAAAGCACCAGAATAACTGGTAACAAGCCAGATCGATAACCAATTAGTGACAAGGAGATACCCTACACAACTGACCGGCTCTCCCGCAGGCGGGCGAGTGCATACTCGGACACTGCTCATTTCTAGGATAACTTGCCACTGCAGAGTTTTAGGGAAAATTAACCGCAAACTGAAGAAAGTTCATCTCACCCATCATTTTCTTTTGGTTCTCCTCGTTCTTATAAAGTCACGTTCCTTAATGAATCTAACAGAGTTCTGAAGATCTTCACTAGTTCTTGAACTGAATTACATATTTGGCATCAAGGCCAGAGGATCTGTCCCTAAAAAGCAAGATTTCCCATTTCCTACTTGCAAGAACAAGAACAACAGCCTTTTTGTGCTGCGGCGTGGTGCTAATAATTGTTCGCAGTTCAGACAAAACTCTACAGGGACTAGAACCACTTATCATATAATGTTCATAGAAGGGTTTGGGTTGGACGGGGCTTTCACAGACCATCCAGTCCAACCCCCTTGCCATGGGCAGGACATCTCACACTAGATCAGGTTGCTCGAAGCCCCATCCAAACTGATCTTGAGCTTTTCCAAGGATGGCGCATCCACAACTCCTCTGCTGCAGTGTCTCACCACCCTCATCATAAAACTCAAACTTTCTATTTTGAGATTGAGAAAACCTCAACTGCACACCAGCACCACACAGGAGTCGGTTCACTAGAGTGAGCTGGGTAACTTCAGCAACGTTGGAAGACTTCAGTTTTCAGCGAGCACAAAACAGGCAACCCCGACAGAAACATCCCCTGCCCTCTGCCTGTTTGGCTAACCCAGCACAAAGGCAGCTCCTCTTCACACCTGCAGTCTCAAAGTCTGCACCTCAAATCCCTCTCAGTCCTGACTGCCTGGCAACTGAAGAGAGACCTGAGAAGCCAAGAAAGATCTGAGGTCTTAAAGCAGATTATATGCTTTCCAAGACATGGAATAAAGGCCCTGAATTGGGAAGAAATGGGAGAACTGATCGCAACAGATCTTGACAGCCAGTGTTTACTGTTCCTTTAACTCAAAAGCATTTGGGGAAGAAAGATCAACTTTCTTCCCCCAATCTAGAATCAGGGAAAAGAAAAATCCTCAAAAACTATGCTCCTTGCCTTCCTAGTCTGGAAGAAAACAGCGTATGCAAGTGGCTCATGAAACAATAAAGCAACAGCGGCAAAATCCAGCAGTGGCTACACCTCTACAGGCAAATAAAGCAAGGCCAGGAGACAAGCTTAGGCATGGGATCACTGGTCCTTCACCCTGCTTACTCCTCTGCAGCCTCCCTGGCACAGTGCTGGCCCCGAAGAGCTCACAGGGACAGTTCCCGACAGGCAGCACGGACAACGTGACATCAGGTTAGTCTCCACTTCTCTCAGAGGCCTCATGCCCTCAAGAACCCCTTCAAGACCTCATCCCACACCTCAGGGTGTCCAATGTGTGAGCTCCTAGCATTGCGTTATGAAAACGCTGCTCTAGTGGGCTGCAACGCAGCCACGGGCACTCTTACAGACAGGGGGCACGGCCCCAGGCTCAGTGACCTGCCAGGCCCAGTGCTGCTCAGCAGGGATGGGCACCTTTTGTCCTTATAATCAGAGAACAGCCCTCAGCCGTGTTTTATTTTACTGTTTTAAGACATAACCAGTATTTTCCTCAAAAAAGGACCGCTCCACAACAGGGTAAGATGTTGTATGTCCAGCTCCTCAATGACTGCGACATAAACATCAGGTATAAAGAAGGTTTCTGGAAAGCAATGAATCAACAGTGAAAGCAATCCCAGGAAAGACTGAACCTGCAGGATGAAAGAGGAAAGAAAGAAGAGTAACTGGAGATGTACTTCCATTTGCCGTGTTTGAACACCAGGAGAGCAAAATTAATGAGACAAAGGAAGACCAGAGGTCTAAGTCCAGATCTGCATTCAATTCCCTACTCCACCCCAGACTCCCTGGGAAGATCTGGTGAAATCATCTAACCTCATTTAAATTACTAATAAAAATTGAAGTCTAGAAGAATAATCTCCCACAGTACTGCCAAAGAAGCTTTTTCATACCCCGTCAGGAAGGTGAGACACTTCAGAAACCTTCCTCAGAACAATTACAAAGATAAATTTATTCAAAATAGCTCACAACTTCTACTATAGCAAAGCCACACAGGGTTTGAAAGGGAACAGCTCCAAACCCAAGGCACCTGCTGTAAGCATTGCTGCCCTTTTGCAGGCACTTCCCCATTTACTTACAATCAGAATTCAAAACTGGTAGATTTATGGCAGGTCTCCCTTTCATGGTGCAATTTTCCTTTGCTTCCTTACTATAGTTTTCTTGACAGCTCCCCATTTTGATCGGAAGCACAAGAAAACGCAGTAAAATACAACTTTACTTTAGAAAGGCACAAGATATTTCTCAGCAACCCTCATCAGGACCAGATGCTGAAGGCCACAAGCACCGCTCACCTTAGTGATGCCACAGAAATGACACTACTCTTAGTAACTGGACATGGTATTTAAGCAGCAATCCTTACATGTTTTTAAAAGTTTATACATAGCAATTTATATTTTTTTGTTTCAGGCTTTGCTCCTCACTGAGATACTTCATGGATTATACATTTTTATAACCAAGTACTTAAACATTATTGTAAATACCCAGTCAAGCCCCCCCAAACCATCCTGCCTCTACTAGAGTGGCTGATGCTTGGTATCCAACACTGAATTGCGCAAAGAGCAGCAGTTGTGCCAAAAACCCACAAACACCCCCCCCCATTAACATGACCTTCCTCCCTGGTAGGAACATATGAAGCAGAACTGCAGAAAAATTAGTAAGGCCTGAAAAAAAGTCTATTCACAAAGAAGAGTGGAAGCATTATTAATTCACATCTACAGCATTAATTCGTTTATATTTGTAAGTTTAAACTTAGAAAATAAAATACTTCATTTAAGACTGAAATTTAAGTAACCTCATTAGGATGTTGATTTATCAGGTTCAATGATAAACTCATGGCATTCTTATAATTTAAAAGGAACAAAAAAACCCTAAAACATCCAACCAAAACCCCAACGCCCTCTCCAACCAACCAAAGAAAAGCCCACAGAAGCAGGGAGTGTGGAAAAAGAGAGGAGAATAGCGGGAGAAACAACAAAAAGGCAAGAGAGCCACCTTCCCTGCTTATGCCCTAGACATAAGGCTCCTAAACTCTCTTAGAAGATCAATATATCAATTGCTTTCTACTGCTTAAAAGCCAAACAAACATTATATCCCTGTAGCTGATGAAGAGGCAGTTTTAGGTCTCCCACTACATAATGCAAAAAAAGTCAAGACAACTACGTAAGCAACTGGGTTATGATCAAACGCACTACAGAAAATAAACGCTGTGAAAGCAGTGTGCTAAAGTCAAGAGTTACGAGAAAGAAAAGAGTTCTAGAACAAAGAAGAGATCAGATTAGGCTGGTCGTTTAAAGGGCACTGCTTAGTTAGGGGGGCTGTGGTTGTAGTTTTACAAAGTTAAGGGACTTGCAGTGTTCAGAAACCAACACTGAAATAGAGAAGCAGCAGCTCCCAATACTAAAACATTTTCAGTTCAGAGCACTGGAGCAGGTGAACACTAAAGCACAAGAGTTTGCAAATAAACCAAGCAGCATAATGAATAAAAGCAGCGTAGAAATATATCCTGCTGA